GGAAGTAAGAAATGAGGAAGGAAGGAGTAAACTCATGCCTTAAGCATGAGTTCTCGGTCAAAGGGGGTTTCTCGATCCAAACCCCTCATGTTTGGCCGTAAACACTTCTTTAAGGTGTTATTTGTTTTATTTGTTCCCCAATAATCCTAGAAAATACTTCCTTTCATTTATTTTCTCGAAAAATAAATATTAAAAATACCCAACCGGACTTTAAACGGAGCTAAAAATTAGCAGAAATGAATTTGACTTTTAAATTGAAGTGATTTCCTGTAGAGTTCGATCAAATGGAAATTTCGGGTTGTCACAAAATTGAACCCCTAGCTTCCCAAAATCGGCCACTCTATTCCATGATGAAACCCTAGCCGATTTTGGTGCTTCCCAATCTCTCTCTCATAAGCCTCCATTTGCTTTTGGTGTTTGTGACTCATTTGAGGTATCACATTTGAGGTACTAAGCTCTTGAAAGGCAAGGTTCTACAAGCTACAACAAAGAGGTATTCATCTAACTAGTCTTTATGTTGTATGTCTCCAATTGTATGCTAGTTAGGGTTTATGCTTTGGATAAAATGAAATTGCATGTATAACTTGAGAAAACTTAGATCCAAAGCATTTAGGGTTGTATATGCACCATAGGGTTGTTATAGTGCTCAAAACCCTTCACTACCACGATCGGAATCCAATTTCACACCTTTGGAGCGAAGGTTAGGAGGAACATATTTAGAGCTCTCCGATTGAGAAACCTCTAGAGCGGAATCCTTGTTGGATTCTGAACGAGTTGGGGAGTCCGGGATCATCACCTCCTCTGTAACTAGGGTAGGGTTCACATTACACTTCCGATGAAGACGATCGAGAAGGGTTATAGTTTTTCCCTCAAAAATTTCCATATGTTTTTTACCCAAATGATTCCAACGGGGACTCATACCCGCCATACCCAACACTGCTTCATCAGGATCTGCCCATCGAACAAAGTTGCTCGCTAACCTCTCCGTTATTAATATTTCGTCAAGTGAGAGTTCATGGGTGGGGTCGGAAACCCTGTCAGCAATTGCACCATACGCCATGGAACCAAAAAAGGCAGAGGAATGAATGTACAAGAACTCTTCCTTCCAATATTTGATAGAAGTAGGAAGACCATCACATAGATCCACCAAACCATGGCGAAGGGAGAAGGAGACCCAGTCTCCATTGGACATGGGAAGGTAGAAGTAGCGAAACAGGGTAATAGATGGTGACACATCTAGGGCAACGCACCACAGGGTAAAACAAAGAACCTTGCAAAAGCCATTGGGGGTTATTTGGGCGATGTGCAGACCTTAGTAATCCATAATGGTTTCAAGGAAATTGAAAGCAGGGAGGCGCAACACAGACTTGAAGAATACTCAATAAACCTCCACGAAGCATTCACGAGTGTCAGTAATGGCATCGTTGGCCTCCGGTAAGCGAGGGTGGAACTTGGGATCGATATGTTACTTCCGAACGATAATACCCATGGTTCGAATGGTTAGTTTGGATTTCACCATCCTTATGTGATAAGTTCCAGTGCTTGCCATATCTAGAAGAGAGGGAGAAATCGAAAGTAAAGGTCGACAGGAAAAGAAAACTGACTATAATCGAAAGAGCGAATGGTGAAGCGAATGGTTTAAAGCCGAATATTTATAGCGAGTCTATACCCTATGAAGATTAATAGGCAGACAATGGTTGGTGGATATTGTACCCCTATTCAAGTAATGACAGATGAAGAGATGGTTATAGGGATCATCATTAGGGCTAGCATAACCGTCAGCACGTCACGTCAAAGTTAATTCAGGAGTTTTGCGCCCCTATCCTACCATAACGGCCATAATATCGCTCGTACCAAAGTTTGCATCCCTACTTCATCGAATACGTATAGATACAAACTCGGGGGACTTAATGAGGTATGACCCAGAAATACCTCTATCCTTTCCTGGACATCCCGAACTGGCATGTTCAAAGTCGCCCGAGCCACTAAACACCAAACTGACATAACGACTTTTGAGGAGAAGAAAGAACGAAGAGAAGGTACAAGGTGACGTCTAAATAGTAAATGCAGTGTCTCAAAACTATGAGACACATCCTGTACGAGGATACGTGGTCGAGAGGTCCTAGTACAGCCACAAGACAGCTGTATAAAGGTATGAATAGCACCAATGATCGTACCTTAGGGCGTTACACCATAAATGCGATAAGATGGCATGTCAGGGACGATCTAGGAAGAGCTTTCCACCTCCCATACCCCTACAAATAGATGTCTCGACACCACAAGAAGGTAAGTACAAAGAATCTACTTCCGAATCTCATGTATAATCCATCGAATATATAGCCTTTTGCTTACTTAACCGTCGGAGAATCATGCGGGATCATTCCCCGGGCAGTTGCTTACAGTTTGTTTGTAGTCTTCAAGTCAATATTGTTCCTCTTGGAAATCAGATCCTAAAGTGAAAGATGGAAGACGGACCTGATGACACATCATTTTCCAAAACACACACCTATGAATATACATACTCAATAGAACACACATACACACACGTACACACTCAAGAACATACCACCCCTACTGGTTGCCACCATGGCCATCAACTTCCACCATCGCCTGCCACCATCACTATTGTTTGCGACCATCAAGCATTTCGTCTGGTTCGAGGGTTTTAGATCGGATGATTTTTCTAGATCTGCGCTAGGGTTAGGGTTTCAGATGGAGTCGGCGGTTAGATACGTAAACGAGATTTGAAAATTTTAGGAGCTTCAAGAGCACCAGTGAGAATGGCGACGTTGGTGAGGTGACCAATAATGTCCAAATCTGAGCCGCGATGGTGGTGACTGTATGGTAGTTTTTTATCTAGTGGAGATTGATTTTGGATAAGAAATTGTGGGTTTTTTTAATCTATTTGCAGGTTTGAAGCGACAGTCTCTAATGGTGGAATATGGGTAAGAAAAAGAGAGCAAGTCGGTAACAATGGTAATAGATCTAAGTTGGAGTCAGACCTTAGATATGGTCGCAACGATTGTGTTTTGAATCTGCATATTATTACAGTTCGACCACCATGCGTCGGCGCATCCGCCTTTGCATGATCAGAAGAAGTACCTAAAAACATTTAATCCATAATTGTAAGCACAAAGCTTAGTGAGTTCCCCAAAATATCACATACATTACAAAAAACTATACATAACAGTAACGAGTATGTTCCAACCCAACGACTTTGTTTCAACCCAACAGGTCTGTTTCAACCCAACGAAGCATGTAAACATACAAGCAACTAGCAAGACCCTACTAGTCTAGCTAAGCATCAATCATGGAATAGCAACTATGTCATAACTCATGAGTAATATAGTGAGAAGACTCACGTCATACAAAATCCAGAACCATAACTACATGCGAAATGTAAGGTCGGTCTCACAAACCACCTAGACATTAAATAAAGGTCAAGACTCAGTCTACAACTAGCACCCAAAAAAAGTTTGACACAAAGTCAAACTTAGTCAAAAGGTCAAAAAGTCAACATTTTGGTCAAAATACCAAAAAGTCAATATTTTGGTAAAAATACGCCCCGCATCCACTACATGACAAAACAAACTCAAATCAAGCGTGCCCCATGATAAATAAAAAACGACCCCACACCTTTAGGAGACACGTCGCGCCCAAACTGGTTTTAAAAGGGTTTTTCAACTTAATCCATTAATTCAATGCTTCTAACTCTCAAATCTAGATCTATATGATGACTAAATGGATAAAGTTTCCAACTTTATCTATTAAAACTATCCAAACAAATAAGATCTAAAACCCTAGTTTCCAAAAAGTCAAAGAATGCATCTTTCTTCATGCATTCAACAAAGAGAACACATGCATGCACTCAAAGATCCTCCAAATAATCAGATCTAACATGATTCTAAGATCATGTAGTTCTCGAAACTCCATAGATCAAGCCACTAAAGGACCAAAAACATCATAAAATGAACCAAAACACCAAATACTCTTAGATCTAACTTGTGGGTTACAAAGGTCCAAAAGTGTAAAGAAAGCAAGGATCCTCAAGCTTCAAGCTCCAAAGCACCGCCTTTCTTGATTCCTTTACCCAAACACCCAAATTAACCACCAAAAGTGGTTTAAGGAAACAAGATAAGCTCAAAACACTCGAGGGAGGCTAGGGTTTCTCTCAAGGGACATTATAGGGTTGATAGAGGTTGATAATGACAAACCCTAGGGGTTAATTCCCTTTGCATATCCCCCAGAACCCTAAAACTATGTTCATCCCATGGGCTTGGGAGCTTTGCGCCATATAAATGGCACCCCGACGCCCTAACTTAAAAGTTCAAGTTTTTCGGTATTCAGATTTTCAACGAATTAAACAGATAACAGCCAGAATAAGATACATACCGTGAAATCGGATGTGACATTGGTCCTCCGGAACATTGTGTGGTTTCATGCCAACACAAACAACATGGAGCTCGATGAGGAACTTATGGTGATATTAATTTTCGAGACCTTTAAAGGTGAGTATGAGGTGTATACGTCCAGATTTAGTTCAAGGTTGGTTGTAGTTAAATAGATGATGCAAAGGGTGTTGGAAACAATGTCCAATGTTATTAATTATTTGGAGGAAGTTTCATGAGGGGTTGGGTACTCAATTATATTTTAGTACAACATACATGTTGAGAAGCTAGCTGATGTTTATGTTCGGAAGGTGGTGGTTCGACATGGGGTTCCAGTTTTAGTGGTCTCGGACCGGGATGTTCGTTTCACCTCCAGGTTTTGGAGTAAGTTTTATGAGGGGTTGGGTACTCAGTTGCATTTTAGTACATCATACCACCCTCAGACCAATGGCTAGAGCGAGCGGACGATCCAAACGCTCGAGGATATGCTTCGGGCTTGTGTGTTGGATTTTGAAGGGAGTTGGGATACTTACCTTCCATTGGCTGAGTTCTCCTACAACAATAGCTATCATGCTAGTATTGACCGACCACCATTTGAGATGTTGTATGGGAGGAGGTGCAGGACCCCGATTTGTTGGGGCGAGGTTGGTCATCGGGTCGTGGGAAGCACTGAGGTGGTGCTTAAGACCACAAAATTGTTTCAGCAGGTACGCGATAGGTTGCGGTTTGTGCAGAGTTGATAGAAGAGTTATGATGATCGACGCCGTTCATACCTTGGTTTCAGGTGGGAGACTTGTTGTTGCTGAAGGTGTCACCTTGGAAAGGTGTTATCCAGTTTCGAAAGTGGGGCAAGATGGCCCCCCCGGTTTAATGGTACCTTCGAGATTATTACGCGTGTGGGCAGGGTTGCATACCGACTGGATCTTTCTGATGAGCTTAGTCAGATCCATAACACTTTCCACGTGTCTCAGTTGCGGAAGTGTATAGCCGATGATTCAGCAGTGATATCGTTGGATGATATTCAGGTCGATGAGCGCCTGAACTATGTGGAGAGACCGGTGGCAATTTTAGATCAAAAGATGAAGGCTCTACGCAACAAGGAGGTGTCATTGGTCAAGGGCCAGTGGCAGCATCGGAAGGGTTCCGAATGGACATGGGAGCCAGAGGCGGAAATGCGAGAGCACTACCCAGATTTATTCGCGGCAGCAGACTTCGAGGGCGAATTCTAGTTCAAGTGGGCGAGAGTTGTAACACCTAGATTTCAGGTATCCGTTTTAACCCTTGATTTATCTTTATTTTGCAAGTTTAGTTCCTGATGGCAATTCTGTAGTTTTGAAGTCCTTTGGAGTACGCTGGGCATACACCCTCGTACGCAAGGCGTACTCTGGAGCGCACTAGAACGCTGAGTGTATGCAGGTACGCATGTTGTACGCAGTCGGAGTTCACTCCCTAAGTTTTTGAGTTTGAACCCTATTTAAGCTTACTTATGGCCTCAAGCACCTTTTTACCTTCAGCCTCTCTCCTTATCTCAAAAACCCTAAGTGTGTTTGTGCTTGTAAAGCTTGTTGGAGCCACTTTGGAGAATTTTTGGAGCTCGTGATGTAGAATGAAGGTCAATGAAGTGGTGGTGTTGCACTCAAGGCTTTGGATCTAGCATTTAGTCCCCCTTGTCTACCTTGCGGAGGTAAAAAGTTTGAAACTTGATGATTGAATCTTTTGGACCTAGTTTTGCTCAAGTTGCTTCCTTTTTGGTCCTAAACTTAGCCTTTGAGAGGTTTTTAGGGTTGATAAGTCATAAAGTTGG